CCTGCTTCTCCCTCTCCCACTCCCCCTGCTTGTGTTCCCTCTCTCGCTGTGTCTCTCTCTGTGAAATAAATAAAATCTTTAAAAAATAAATAAATAAATAAACAGAGCACAAGAACAGAAGTTTACAAATATACTAAAAATCATGGAATTGTATACTTAAAGCAGGTGAAATTTATGATAGATTCATTAAACCTCTGAAGCTGTTTGACATGAAACAGAAAAGCACTGTACATTTAAGAACAGCAGGAAGCAAAGGAAAGAGAGACAGGAGACTCGAAAGGAAACTAAGAAGAAAGGATGCAGGGTAACATAGCCAGGTAAGCAGGTAAGAGAATAGGCGGAACATCAGAAGGGAAAAGAAAGAGAGGTCAAGGAGGGCTTTAAGGGGTGCCTAGGGGAGCCTGGGTGGCTCAGTCTTTAAGGGGTGTCTGGGTGGCTCAGTCCGTTAAGCGTCCGACTTCTGGTTTTGTCTCAGGTCATGATCTCAGGGTCGTGGGATCGATCCCCACGTCAGTCTCCATGCTCAGCAGGGAGTCTGCTTGAGATTCTCTCTCCTTCTCCCTCTGCCCCTCCCCCCAAAAATAAATCAATCTTTATTTTTTTAAAGATTTTATTTATTTGACAGAGAGTGAGAGAGCACATGCAGGGGGAGTGGGAGAGGGAGAAGCAGGCTCCCCGCTGAGCAGGGAGCCCAATGCGGGGCTCCATCCCAAGACCCCAGGATCGTGACCTAAGCCGAAGGCAGACACTTAACTGACTGAGCTACCCAGGCGCCCCAAAAGGAAGGCTTTAATAGAAGGGAATTCATAAGCAGACAAAAAGATCCGGAGTATAGGCCACTGAGGAGTGAGATCAGGTAGTTTCCACCAGTGGTCCACTTGGAAGGTAGAACACAAATGCAGTGACTAGATGAGAAAGGTGGGAGCCATCTGGCTCTGCCTGATGTCCAACAGTGCTCTCTCACTCTCTCTTTCTTTCTCTCTCTCTCCCCCTCTCCATGTACACACACAGACACACACACACACACACACACACACACTCCTGCATGCTCTCAACAGTCTCTTTGCGATGGTGGTATTACTAGGATTAACTACTATTAAAACATGCTGGCTTTCTGAAACGAGTCCTACCAAAAGCCCCTATAATACTCCTGACAGCGTAATCCTTTGATAAATGTTAACTTAATTTACAGTGTGCTTCCAACAAGTAAGGCATTTTAAAGTAAGCATTTACTTTAGGATAAAATTTGCCTTAACCTACTCATCCTCACCATATTTAAATACTTAAAGGCTATCACATGGATTTTAAAATTAATTCTCTAGCATTTGAGGATCTACTGTATGCTCAACACTATAAATGAGGTGCTGAGAAGAATTTAAGACAACAGTGCTCCTAAGGAGCTCAGAATTTATCTAGGAAAATTAGGCAGAGGTAAAGAACAATAATCAAGAGTAAAACTTGGGGCACCTGGCTCAGTCAGAAAAGTGTGAGACTCTTGATGTTGGGGTCATGGGTTCAAGCCCCACATTGGGTGTAGACAGTATTTAAATAAATAAAACTTAATGCAGGATCTAGTTACAATGTAGCTGTAAAGTGCTGCCTTGTCTTTGCCCCCTGCTCAAAATAAAGCTGTT